AAATCCCCACCCGTGAATTTGTGAGCATAAGCAATTATCCAACCAGCCCTAGTATCACTTTTGAGCACACACATTCCGTCCTGAGCTATGGAATCCTGCCTCTGACTCCCCAATGTGAGAGTGAGGGGAATAGCTGCTGCAACCCTAAATTTGCCTGCTTACTGTTGCTTCACTAGCGCTATATAGGCTTCACTGTTGCTTTGGTGTGCTTGTGTAACATTCAGAACAGTGCCTCTTATGGTACCACAAACTCTGATCTTATTCCTCGGATGGAACTCTATGCGTGTGTACATCCTCAGGTATCTTTGGAACAACAAACTGAATGGGTCTATTCCATCCACCATCGGCAGCATGAGCAACCTTACAGACCTGTCAGTATCAAGGAATTTCGATAACATTTCACCTTTGGCTTGAATGGCTGTGGTTCATTCCCTTAACTACTGCTTCAGCTGTTCTTTGGCTCGTCACAATTTATCAAACCCCCATGGGTATGCCAGTTTGCTGTTAGATGTACGTGGAATTTACTGCCACGCTCACATGAAATAAAAAGCTTCTTCTTGCCATATCCATATGTAGTGCTCATTCCTGTGGCTTTGAGGTAAAAACAAGCAAGAAGATGAAGGTCATATACGATTGGAACTCAAATGGACGATTCATGGTAACTAGCAACCATCTGCTCATAAGTGTATTTGATATTATTCTTTCATTTTACATCGAGCATGACAAGGCTTCTCAAAGAGTTGAAGTATGCTTGTCGGCGCAAGTTCAGCAAGCAAGTTTTTGGATCATTAAGACAGCACAGTTCCACTTGAGTACAGCCAGCAGAGCAAGAAATTTGGCATGGGTTCATCACCGTCTTGGACCCCTGGCTTGTGATTGATGAAGAGGATCATTGGTCATGGTTGCCTGTGAAGTAGCAACAAGGTACGTCACAGGCCGCGATCCCTTCTCTTCAGTATGAGTCGGAATAACTCAACCATTTTGTAAGCTTCTTGGTGATCAGAATCATATTGAACCATTTCGACCACTTTGTACATGAGAGCATTGCCGTGCACTTCTTCACCAACATGGTCTTGGATATGGAAGCGTTGTTGGTGTTTACATGTGTCTGTGTGCACAATTGGCACGCCACCACGCTCTGCTAAGCAGTGTGCACGCTCACAAGTTTCAACTCATTCTCGTGTCCTGCTATGCATTTCCACCACCACTAACATTTTGTAATGTTTATCCCTTCGTGTTGCTTCTGAATGTCCACATATTTGCATGTTTGTGTGAGGCTCAAATCATTGCCCATTGTTTTCACTTGTTAAAAGGGCTGTTTCTTGCAGCACTGTTTATATAGTGTGCTGTTTTTCACTAGGAATATTTTCTTGCTGCATTCAATGTTTCTTTCTACCCATAAACCCTTTTGTATGTTGTATCATCAGGATTCTTGAGCACAATTCTTTGAGCGGGTCTATTCCATCTGCCATCGGCAACATGAGAAACCTCGTTTGGTTGTGAGTATTATGAAGGGAATAGGACAGAGAGCCAACATAACCTCGCACAGGTTCAGAAATTAGAGGGCCTGCAATGGCAACACCAAGTCAACTTGATTTGAGAACGAGCATACATGCTAGGCATGACCACTGTACACGCTCACAAGTTTCAACTCATTCTCGTGTCCTGATATGCATTTCCACCACTACTAACGTTTTGTAATGAGTATCCCTTTGTGTTGCTTCTGAATGTCTACATATTTGAATGTTTGTGTGAGGCTCAAATAATTGCCCATTGTTCTCATTCGCTTTTACTTGTTGAGGGCTATTTCTTGCACACTGTGCTATATAGTCGATGGTAACGTTTAGCACCTGTTTATCAGGCACAATTTAGAGTAGATAGCTTGTATCACTATCTTATTTCAGCATGTCATGAGTTCTTTAGTCCTTCTTGGTTTTTTATAGCAATCTTCCCTCTCCTACCAATTGATTCATTTGTTATTCTTGTTGAATTTCATGGAACCTTCCCATGTGCTTGGTAACTAGTGTTTCGCCGTATCTTTTTTTAAACACATTTGAAGCCCTATTTATGTAATCTTACCACCCGCAAAACACTTCGCATGTTTTACCATAAGGAATCTTTACCACAATGCGCTGACTGGGTCCATTCCATCCACCATCGGCAACATGACAAACCTCGAAGTCTTGTGAGTAACATCAAGAGATCATAAAGAGAGGCAACATGACCGCTCACATGCTCATAAATAAGAGGCCCAGAGCTGGCAGTTAAGAAAACGTCTGGTCTCGGTCGGACGGGAACAGGATTTTACTGAAGACCAGAACCCAGCAGGACTTATGGTAGTTGTCATAATCTTCCCAACGCGGGGTTTGACTAGCTTGATCCTAGGCTTGTTCAAAACTTGGATTCACCCTTAGTTTATCAGTTTTAAGGGTGAACTGGCGCCTGCCCTTGGCTATGACTAATGAGAGGGGTTGCAATGCAAGCATGAGCAGCCTAACAAGTGGTTCGTGCCTTTATGCACTCTTGCTTTGATACTTCAAGATCACTCTTTCCCAGGTTTACGTGAGCATGGTTTTCAGCCATGCCTCAGGACACCGTAAGGAACTCATAATGCATGCAGTGTGTAACACAATGTCGGTTCACTTGAGATCATTGACAGATCTTGCACTGGCTATAGGTTGGAGGTATATATAAAACCTAGTGCCGAATTGTAACTTCTTTGGCTTAACCTTCTTCCGCCCAACAAACATCCTATGTTGATTTTGAAATGTGTTTTGCCTGGTTGGGAAATATCTCACATGAAGCTGGTTATGCATCTCATGCTTGACTGGACTCTGTCACGTTGGGTGAACAGAAATCTCTATTGCAACTTAACCATGTTGACCTGGAATAGCCTAATAGGATATGCGTCCCCTGCCACAATCCACGGCTTTTCCATCTCCTTTGACTGTCTCCTAACATCAACCGATCTTTGGTTTATTCCTTTGTTTTTCCATCCCTGTACAGGTAAAATTTCCTGCATGTATGCACGGTTAGGTATCTTGTTAGCAATGCTTTGAATGTTTCTATTCTATCTTTTATCTGTTATTTCCATCCATTGCAGAGACGTCAGCCAGAACAACCTCACGGGCCAACTCCCTCCAACAATAGCCAACCTCAAACTTCTATCATACCTGTAAGGCACTTGAGCATTGTAAAAATACAGACTCAACGTGCACATTGTGCACGAGGTGAAGCTGGTTCAGAAATGCTTGAGAAATATGTCGCGTAACCGAAGCGAGGCAAGCGGATACAAGCAAAACATGAACCAATTGACAGAATTCGAAGAGGGCTAGCTTGGAGGCGACTTGGGCTGGTCAAGTGAGGAAACTGTTCCCAATGGTTTTGGGGTGCCAAATGGATGCTCAACTCACCCACAGTCAAGATAGGGATGTGGGTAACACTCAAAGATTGCCAAAGCACGTTTCGAATGTTGGACTTCGTGGGTCCAGGCTGGAACCGCGTACTCAAGGTTGAGAAACATGCTTAATTGGGGTACCTAGCTGTTGATAAAATTTACTCGAGGAACACCCTATAACTAATATGACCAAACCTTAATGTCTACACTAATTCTATGTACACAGGATATATTAGACATACACAGGATACATGTAACTAGACATGAACACGAGGGCAAGCACCTGCTCGGTGCGCCTCGAACATGTTTTGTTTTTGTGGCTCAACGTGTTCAGGCCGAATATGTTCGTGTTCGTTTCGACATCCCTTTCCGACGAACGCAAATCTGCTCATTAAAAATGGTTGATGAAACACACTAATCAAGCTCATTTTTTAGCTCGCCTTTATTCCCAACCCTCCTTCCACAGCCTAGACTGCAAGCTTCAGCAGCTAGGGTACCTAGACTCTAATGAAATAGTTGTGGCGGAACAAAAATCTACTTGTTTTATTTCCTTCACTCTCAAACGTCCACCAAGTATAGCCACACCAACCTGGATGCCAAAATCCACCATCCAGGATCATGTGTCTTGAAGACTGCTGATATGGCCAACACGAACATGTTCGCCCCAAACATGTTCGTTTTCGGCAAACATCAAGGTGTTCACCTCCCAAAGGGGAACACCCGAACACCTTCCTCCGCCTTCCTCCCTGGAAGTGTTCGGGCGAACACATACATGTTCGGTACGCTGAACATGTGTGTTCGATGCATGGCAAACACGTCACCTTCAAGTTCGCCCTGAACATGTTCACTAGCCCAGGATGTGCATGTTCAAGCTCAACTTTTCAACATCCGTGCACTAGTCCAGGATGTGTAGAATGGGCTACTATTTATGATATGGGTGGCGGTTTCAGCAAGTTTATATTTCCAGCTGGTTTCTTCCCTAAACGATCTAAACACAAGGCAAACACGAACATTTTCGCCCTGAACATTCTGGGCCAGAAACAATCAAGTGTTCGCCCTTGTGCTCATGTCTACTTGGCATGGTAAAGTATTACAACGTGTTACCATAAATCTCAAATACCAACCTCAAAGCACTTTAGTTAGAGCTGAAACCCATTCCCGATCCATAGTTTGAAAACGCTCCATATGCAGCTGCGGTCACAAGCTCCGTTCGAGAACCCGTTTCGCATGCAGGAACATATCCTCGACTGCAATCACATGCCCACCTGACTACAGCAGCTGCGTGGTCCCACAGACCAATTCAAGTGCTTTCTGCAGCCAGTGCGGCTCCTTCTGCACCACATGTGACAAGCCACCACCAGGTAAGGCTAACCTTATGCTGGTGGCTGCTGCTTTCACAGCCCATTTTTGCTTTGCTCTCATTAGCGCTAAGAGAATGAACAGTGCATATCCACCTACTTAGCTAGCTTTTCCACTGTCAGGTGCGGTAACAATTACAGCTTTGCTACTCCTCAATATGTGCTTCTGTTGTATGCATCCTCATGGCTTTTACTGAAGAATACGTGTTTCTATCCTTCATTTCCTTCCTTTGCTTCCTCCCCCCATGCAAACTGTGCCTGATGCCACATCCACTTTCACCAAGCCAACCACCATCCTCATGTTTGATTGCCTTTTCCCTTCCCTCTCTCTGTCTTTCTACCCCCATAACTGTACCCTCCCCATCGTCAGTGCCGAAACCCTCCCCGTCGCCAGTGCCAACACCCTCCCCATTGCCAGTGCCAACACCCTCCCCATTGCCAGTGCCAACACCCTCCCCGTCGCCAGTGCCAACACCCTCCCCGTCGCCAGTGCCAACACCCTCCCCGTCGCCAGTGCCAACACCCTCCCCGTCGCCAGTGCCAACACCCTCCCCGTCGCCAGTGCCAACACCCTCCCCGTCGCCAGTGCCAACACCCTCCCCATCGCCAGTGCCAACACCCTCCCCATCGCCAGTGCCAACACCCTCCCCGTCGCCAGTGCCAACACCCTCCCCATCGCCAGTGCCAAACCCCTCTCCACCTCCTCCAACGTCATCTCCCAGTGAGCCTACAGCCTCTCTCTCCCAAACTGGAGGCGGTTTATCCAGCGGAGCCATTGCTGGCATTGCTGCTGCTGGCACTGTGGCTGTCCTCGTGCTGCTGGTGCTGCTGACCTGGCTTCTGTGGAAGCGATACGGCACCAAAGGGACAGCAGGAGGAGACAATACTAGCACCAATGTGGATGGCAAGAAATCAATAAATAACATTTTGTTTCAAGGTAAGATATTTACGTAGATGCTGAGCCTAGATGAAGGAATAACAAGGCAAACGCCAGGCAATCGAAAGAAAATCAGAGTATCATCAAAATCAGAAGATCATAAAAAAATCCAAGAGTAAAAGCAACAAATGCATGTGCAATTTCTCACCATGGAACATTCCAGGTCCTCCCAGATGTCAAGCCGTCTTCTTGGTTGGGTCTGACTCATGAGTTTTGGGTTAAAGACTCAGAATCACTTGTCCGAACCTTATTTTTAGGTTGCGGCGCAAAACCCCACAAAATTGCATGTAATGGCACTGTCTTTTGCCTGCCGCTCTATGCGAAATAGTCATGAGGAAATGAGACAACCAGACTGGCTAGTTTTTTTTTTTTTTTTTTTTTTTGTGCAAAATGTGAATCGCCTAGTCCCAAGTTCGGAATAATGGGTCTGGGTCGAACTGGGCAGGTTTGGTTCTAGTTGAACGATCAAAATTCAAGCTGGATATCTGGATTGGGGTTCATTGCCATGGTATCACACAGCCACACAGGTATGGTGTTGAGATGGCAGTACAAAAAGTTGGCGAAACTGTTCACCATGGATGTGACTGAATTCACCTTCTTGTAGAAATTCATCCAGCCTTAACCTCGACTTGTCAGGAATCAACGAATGAAGGAATGGTGCTTGCTGGTCCTTCCTGGGTCATTAGCAATTCAGAGTAGGTGGTTTAAATTCCCAGGCCCCTTGAATTATCGGTCTTCTCTTTCATGTTCACCATCTTTTTCATCTTTTTGCAGCACCAAATAATGAGGATGAGGACCCAGCAGCAGCGGAAGGGGAGGCCGCAGCAGCTGCAGCAGCTGCCGCAGCAGCGCTACCATTACCAGCAGTACAAGGGATGCAGGGTGATGATTTTGTGGTGGAGATGGAGGCAGCACGGCCATACGTGTGTCGAGAGTACTCTTTGGCAGAGATGTCTAAGGCCACAGGAGATTGGGCAGAGGGGAACAGGATAGGAAGTGGTAGCTTTGGGGATGTTTACAAGGGTGTGTCGCCCCATGATTGCAATCAAGCCTGGGCAGTCAAGCGAGCTCGAGTGCTCACGAACGACTTCCAAAGAGAGGTACCATGGTGTGAGTTTTTGTTGATATGTTAGTGGCACGTTTCCCATTAGTTTCTTCTGCCAACCCCAAGCATAGCTGGTGGTCTGGTTATTCAATCTCCTTCGATATGTTTACTGTTTTCCCTCTCAGGTGAAGGAGATGGCAAGCAAGCACCATCCGCATCTTGTGCGTCTGTTGGGCTATTGCATCGACATCGACCTCTCCACACGACTCATGGAGCAGATCCTCGTTTACGAGTTCATGCCCAACCACGACCTTGAGAGCTGGATTGGTTCTGGTGTCTCCCATCCTCTTTCGCTTCGTCAAAGGCTTGACGTTCTGATTGGAGTGGCAAAGGGGTTGCAGTATCTTCATGACTTCGGCATTGTGCATCGCGACATCAAACCTGCCAACATTCTCCTTGATGCAAAGATGCAGGCATGTCAATATTGTTGTAGGCCTTGCTGTACATGGTGAAAGATGCCTACTCGTATCCATCCCTTTGCAACTATCATGTGGTGTTTTGCATCGCCTCGCATGCTCTGAATCTTTCACATCAATGCTCTTGTTGTCCATGGGCAGGCCAAGATTGCAGACTTTGGGCTTGTGAAGCTTAGTGGGGGCACTGCTATGGGCACGTCTGTGGCTGCCACACGAGTGATGGGAACACCGGGCTATGTGGACCCTGCGTATTTCAAGTCTCATAAGGCCACTCCAGCAGCAGATGTGCACAGGTGAGCAGATTGGCACAGGTGAGCAGATTGGCACAGGTGAGCAAAGTAGGTTATGCTACCAAATCCATGCAAGTTATAATGGCATGAGAAAACAGTGAAGGTTAGCAGATGAGCACTTTGGCATGAGAATACTGTTCAAGGAGGCTTCCAAGTTTGATGAGAAATGCTCATGAGTTTCGTTTCTTATAGGGAAGATAGGGTTTGGGTTTCGGGCTTGCAGTGATTTCTATTTCACTCAAAGAAGGTCCATGCCTGACATTGAAGCCATTTCCAGGCATTCTTACCAATCGAGTAGCTTGGTGATGCTTGGTGATGGGGCTTGCGTGACGATCACTTGTGGAATGATTGGGAAACAAATTTCATTGTGACCATAAAGCTTTTGTACATCTGAGCGTGATTTCAAGTATGATGCCTTTGTTTATTGACGGGTTGCAGTTTTGGCGTGGTGACGCTGGTGGTTATCACGGCGCGCAAGGCTGTGCATGTAACACAGGAAAACCAGATGAATCTCAAACAATGGGTGAGAGACAGAAGTGTATCATGCCAAGGATGGCAGATCTTGTAACACAACGTATGAGAAAGCCAGCTGCACTGCGTATTGAGTTTGCTTGATAATATCAATGTTTCCTTGTTGCCCTTAGCCAAACATATGTAGGCCAATTCATGTTCTCCTTACCTCCATTCCCAACAGGATACATGCTGCAATGATTAAGACGAGCACTTACCTTTGAATCACACCTTGTATCTGTAATAGGATTCACCTTCCTATCATCCTGCTTTCTATGTAGCACTAATCTCCTATGATCATACATCATTCCATCAATCTCTGCGTTGCCACATTTCTACCATTCTTCACAGGTTTTATTTTAATGTGAAACTCTGTGAACATTTTGTATCACCAAATTCCATGTGATGTATGCATTTAACCTCGCAGGTGGCCCCGTTGGTGGACTCCGGTGCTGTATTGGCATTCAAGGACCCTCACTTGGACGCACCAGATGACTTGGTGCTGCGCTGGGCTCGCCTTGCCCTCTCCTGCACGGCCATGCCTGCAGCCTCCCGCCCCTCCATGAATCAAGTGCTTTGGGAGCTGGTGAAGTTGAAGCAGGAGGCGTCCGGAGCACATGAGGGCCATGTGGGCGAGGCCAAATCTCGCATTGACATGGAGCTTGGGAGCTCCATTGGCTCCTCCAGCTTCACTGCTGAAATGGCCCGTGCGGAGCGCGAGGGGGGCATGCCAAGTGGCTCTTCCACGTAATCAAGCTTGTTTTCACATGCAGCTTACTGGTTTACCTTGTGCTTCTGATGCCAATTGTTTGCTTCATATGAAAACATGGTATGGGACACATAGGAACACTGACAGAGGCTGTGGAAGGGATACTGGTAGCATCTTTTGATGAGCACAAAAATGGGACAGGAAAATTGGGCTGTGTAGTACACTGTAGCTTCGGCTTGTCCATGGGCCAGATTTTATGCTTGTCACCTTCTTCCTGAAACTTTTAGCTGTTGCATGCATGATTTTCTGGATTGTGAATTAGATTCACGTATAGGGTTGTTTTGGGGTTTTTAGACAGAATATCGCTCTTCAAACATCAAGCTTGAAAAGCTAAACATTCCTCTGTATACATGGAGAAAGAACTGTTTAGAAGATACCCCCTTGCTACACGATTGCCCCTAACCTCTACACTGGCTTAACGCGTACACACAAATAGGTGTCTTATAATGAGGCGAGCTTGTTGAAAAGAGACACCCGGATAATAGACAACCCCTGTCTACTATTCAACACTGTCTACTAACCGGGCAATGACGGTATTATACTCCCCACTCCTCTCATAAAATCCCTCCTTTCGTAATCCCCACTTCTGTCATGCCTCTATATTCCTCTCATGCCCCTACACTCCTACCATACCCCCTCTGTTACTCCTCACTCTTCTTATACCCCCCACTCCTCTCATACCAGCCTCCTCTTGAATCCCCCACTCCTCGCACATCCCCTCTTTTCATAACCTTGACTCATTTCAAACCTCCACTCCTCTGATAAACCCGGTTCCTCTCATACCCCTCACTCCTCTCATACCCACCATACCTCTATGCCCCCCATTCCTCTCATACACCCCACTCACCTTATAACCACCACCATTATATTACCAGCCATGCCTCTCATACCCCCCTTTCCACCCATCCCCCCACTCCTCCCATACCCCCAATTCCTCTCATGTCCCCAATTCCGTTTACACACCCCAATTATGTCATAGACCCCACTCCTCTCATACCCCCCACTCTTCCCAATCATTTATTTCCAAGTAGTCGCTGTCTCTTATAGTCTTGCTTTCTATGCATGCGCTCCTGCATTGAGCCTTTGGACTCCTGCACCATTTTCTCGTCCACTCCCTCCATGCACTATGGATATTTTAGGTTAGAAGAACCTGTGCAAGAGCAATATGCTTGCGCTAGACTTCTAGTGCTGTTTTGAAATTATAAAGCCTGTTCATAAAAAGTGCTACCGTACCGACCATAAGCTTGATAGATATTTGTGAATTGTGCATATAAAAATGGTGTCTTTGATTAGATCTCCTAGCCTGATTTGTCTCTGACTGTGCTCACATACGTGACATCTTCCAAGCTAACCAATTTGTAACATTTCTGATCAATTGCTCTCTATTCTAGATGAAAACACATCATTCAAACAACGCACTGCAGATGGTTGTGAACCATTTTAATTTGGAACAGTGCAAGTTACTGTGTTGTGGAATGGATGGAGCACGCACAGTCCAAGGTTAATGAAATCTTTATTGATACAATTTGTAGTTTGAACCATAATGTATCCTTGCAGCTTGACTACGAACTCAGCCTTCAACCGCCAAGAAATCATGAACGTACGTTTATCATGGCAGGAAAAAAGGCAGGGAGGTGAGGAATCTGAATGCTAAGAAGTAGGCCACACTTTCTAATAATGTACCTAACCTCTCATGAGAGCCAGTTCAGCATCGAGAGTCCCCTGCTCATTGTTCTGGGTGCCAATCTTGGCCTTGTGGCTGCTAAATATGGCTTGTTGGGGCTAAAGCGCCAATGGTACGTAGGTCAGTTGGTTGCTGACGGTAGGGTGGGGGAGGACAAAGGGTAGTGTGGGAGATTGTGGGTATCTCGTGTTTGTGGAAGGCATGGCCCTGCATCATACCTGCACCCACGACTGGCCTCAGACTGACATGAGGCTGACATGAGACTGACCAGAAACTGACCAAAAGACTGACCCGTGTTTGACCTTAGACTGACCTGAATCTGACCTTATTTGACTTAAGACCAACCTGAAACTGATACGAGACTGACCTGAAATTGACCTGAGTTTGACCTGAGAGTGACCTGAAAGTGACCTGAGAGTGACCTGAGAGTGACCTGAGAGTGGCCTGAAAGTGATATGAGACTCTCATTATGAGAGTTTCTAGAGCGATCTGAGTGTGACCCGAAAGTGACCTACGACTGACACAAAACCTTCCCCCCCCATGTACTTGACTGGCGAAGCTAAAGAAGGCATTGAACACAAAGGGCGTGCTACACGGGCCAGGGTTGTCGATGAAAAGGAAGAGGCAGATGGGCGCTGCACTGTGCTGCTCCTGACGTGTTGCTGGTGGGGGGCGTGAGGATGATGGTGCCATTGAATGGTTGCGCTGCTGCACCTGCCAGGGAGACTGCTGTTGTCTGTGATGATTTGGTTGAAGGGAGAATTGCAGGATTATGCAGAGCGAGGCAAGGCAGATGGGTGCAAACGGAACAGAAGAAATATGCTTGGATGTAAATAAATCAACACCAGGAGTTCGAGAGGTTTCAACTGCGATGCAGCTGTAATGGTAACAATTACGAGGAATGAGCAGGGTATGCAACGTAATCAAAGGGCACAACAAGAGAGTGCCATCTGCTTCTTACACCAGATCACTCAGTCTCTCCCAAAACTTGTGTATACACACCACTGTAGGAGCACGAGGGCAGTCCGGCCTGGTTGTCGAAGTTGCTATCGCAGGTGTATACTGATTCCTGCACAGACTCACTGAAGGAGCACATGCCATGCCCGCTGCACAGGGGTTGGCAATCCCCAGCAGCAACCCCACAGAATGCACCACACTCCTCTGCACTCCTCTGCTCCAAGTAGTCTCCAGGCGCCCGGGATGCGTTGAGCAGACAATGCTCAAAGGCGTTGCCAAGGTAGGTGTGGTTGGCCTCGGGCGGGATGATGGTCCCGTGGAAGAAGAAGTTGCGGTGGGTGTAGGGTAGGTAGGGTGGGAACTGGTTGGCTGCAGGTAGGGCGACAGGGGCAATGGCAGTCACCCTGTCACTGGTTGGCTGACATGTCACTGTAAAGAAGGGGGGGCGAGGGCAGGGAGAGCCAAGGCGAGGAGTGGGTGGGAAAATGGCGCATGAGCGGGGGTGTGACAAGAGTGGGTGAGAAGTGAACACGCACAGGGTGGTGCAGAGGAAAGATGCAGTGTTCTGTTGGAAGAATGTGTTTGATGCTGGTCAGCAATTACCAGCGCGCAAGCAGATGAGCCTTGGTGTAACAAGCATTTTCAGTCCTATCTGTAGTCCTCCTTCCCAATCCAATGCTCTCTTAGAATGGGCTCTTTCAGGACCCCCTCAACACACCAAGGCAAGTAACAAATGGCACATGGCCCATTGGCACATGGGACCTGGGACATGGCAAATAGCACATGGTGCATGCCATATGCGATTCCCCCCATGCACGTGCAGCATGACAAGGCTGGTCATATTGCGTGTGATGCCGTACACATCGCCAGAGAGGACGTTCCTGTTCAGGTAGCTGGAAGAAAGCACATCCGAAGACAACTCGTGAACGCGGCATGCATGGCATGGCGGCACTTGGACTCCCATCTAGCAGGGTTGAGTGCGCTTCCTAAGGCCCTCAGCGGAGGTAGCATGGAGTGCTGTTGTTGCATGCAGTTGCGTTGCATACAAGCATGATTTCAACTACATGTCAAGGTTGGTAACTTGGATAAGTGTGAGTGGACCAGACGCCAAGGGACACTGGATACAACCGCAAGCAGCCAGGGTGCACACACAAAAGGCCCAAGTTCTGAAGGAGAATGATCTCGGGACCGTACCCCTGAGCCCCACACCCTCCAGCTACCTGAACCCACAGCGTGGAAGACATCGTGTGCACACGTGATACATCACAGACTATGATGATGGAACGATAAGGGAGTCCTTGAGTGAACGAGAGAGAGCGCATTCTATTGCAGTCTGCATATATGTCTTTAACACGCTATGTCTCAGTACCTTTCTGATGACTCTTGTCCTCAAAGCTACTGACATAGACTGATGCAAAGCCAAGGAGACTCGGAATCATACGTGCACAGGAGGTTGCACCAGCAACACACCAGGCAAGCAAGGCAAACACCAAGAGAGAAGCTACAGGGATGGTTTAAGGTTGGCGAGATGTCAAGGTGACTCAGGGTTCCAATAGAGGGGCTAGGTTCCACCAATGTTTGACCGTGCCACCTCCCTGTGAATACATGGCTTGATTAAACACTAGGTTGGGGATAAGAAAGGAGAGCATGATTTCAGCATGCTACACGTGTCTCCTATCGTGATGTGATAGGCCTGACAAGTAGCACGAGCGCTACAAACATCAGAGAGGACAAATGAGAGAGCTACCAGATAGTGGGTTTCGGCGAAATCCATTATCATAAACCAATGCCTCTGTCCTTAGGGCAGTGTCCTTATGAAACAGGGGCCAAAACGGGGGAGTGGAGGTCTGTAGACTAAAATCTCGTTCTGGATCCATACACTATGTTTCGGCTGTACCCTGTGCACACAATGAATCGCTCGCAAGCATAAAAAATTGTCTATGATTGTATGTTGAACCCTAAAGCTATAATGATTGGTGTCAAGCGTCTATTCAAGACATTACTACGGCTGCAGTACGGTAGGGAAAGGAATTTTCTGTGGAGCGGTGATTACCCCAGAGATTGAAAAGAACACCGCACGCGCTCTCACAACTTGTGAGTCACAGTTCCACGAGCATATTCTTGGCCCCATGCAGTGACAGAATGAACGGCGTACATACCGTACTCATGATGACTGCATACATGCTCATGATGACTGCATACATGCTCGTGATGGCTGGATGCATGCTCATGGTAACTGCATACATGCTCATGATGACTGCATGCATGTTCATGATGTCTGCATACATGCTCATCAGTGTGGGTAGGGTTGAGACCTAATTAGGAATGGCGCCAGGGAAGT